TATTATATGCCCATAACAAAGGATGAGATCATGCCAAATGAGACAACATGAGTGGACCCAGAGGGTATTATGTCAAGTAAAATAAATCAGACTGAGAAAGACAAACACCACATGATTCCACTCATAAGTGGAATCTTAAAAAAAAAAAAAAAAGAATAAACAAACAAAAAGCAGAATCAGACTGATAAATACAGAGAACAAACTGATGGTTGCTGTGAGGGGAGTGGAAGATTGAGCAAAATGAGTGAAGGGGAGTAGATGCAGAATGATTATCTCCAGCTATGGAATGAATAGGTCACAGGAATAAAAGGCACAGCATAAGGAATATAGTCAGTGATACTATAATAGCAATGTAATGGGACAGATGGTAGGTACACTTGTGGTGAACACAGGGTAATATATAAACTTGTCAAATCACTAAGTTGTACACCCATAACTAATGTGACACTGTGTCGATCAATCATATTCAAAAAAGTCATTGTTGACTTAACAGAGAATTCTATCTCATTATTTTTATTTAGAAAAAAACTTTTTATAACCAAGGAGAACCAACAATTTACATCTTTATTAACCTGTTTTTTCCTCCTTACATCTTTTACATGTATCTCCAGGTGTGAGTATATGAGGGAGGGCAGGAGTGGTAGGAGTAGAATTCTTGATGTTTTTCTTATAAGTTTGATTAAGCATTGTATATATCAAAAATGTTAACTTTTGTGGTGCCTGGGCGGCTCAGTCGGTTAAGCGTCTGCCTTCAGCTCAGGTCATGATCCCAGGGTTCTGGGATCGAGCCCCGTGTCAGGCTCTCTGCTCAGCAGGAAAGTCTGCTTCTCCCTCTGCCTCTTCCTCTGCTCATGTGCTTTCTCTCTTGCTCTCTCTAATAAATAAATAAAGTCTAAAAAAAATTAACTTTTGTCATCTTTGCTTTAATCATTTTTCTCTCAGACTACTTGCTTCAATTACTGACATTTGAAAGATTTATTCACTGTTCTCAACACAAAATTTTCATTCTTAGA